CAGAACTGAAGTGTTTACTACACAGCTGACAACACCAGGGACTGCACCTTCTGTTCCTCCTCTACCTGTTACAAAACATCACAACAAAATAACCAGAGGTCTCTTATAAAACTAGCAAAACTTTAGCACATGCACAATAATTCATTCATAAGCTAGGGTTCAGTATTAATATTTTGCCCTTTTTTCATGACATGAGTTTCTTCTATCATACCATGTACATTGTATTACACCAACCTTGGCCCTTTGAGAGAGAACTTTTTCCTTGAACACCTCTGTTGTCACTGGAGGTAGATCTGCCACCTTACGTTTGAGGTTGTAGCGATGCCAGTCTGTTTTATAATGAGCCCTTTGTAGGTCACCATCCCGGAACCCCACACGACACGTGATACAGGTATACAAGCCTGATGACATTATAACCTACACAAACTTAAGTTAAACAAAACTGATTAGAATATTACAATTAGCAGGAGGCTCATTGGCCTTAATAGTCACCTGAGTTTGATACATTGTTCAAGTCAAATTTTGTCAAAAATTGAAAGTAACGTTATATAAACAACCAGCGTTCTCATTGCTGAGTCCCGGGACTGAAGGTTTCCGAGAAGATTGAGTCCAATCTAAAATTGATGCATCTAAAAAATTATGAACAGAATTACTGTAGTACATGTATCTTAAGTATCCATCCATCCAAAGATTTTTTTCTTTGAAAGACACATTTATTTTACGCGATTACTATTAATGATAATACATTGAAACCATATGTATTCTTATATATATACATAATTAATAACATAAAAATTCTTTTAGAATTTATAGGCCTGAATCAAAATAAACTGTTGCATATAAAACTTATTACCGTATAATCCCTATTTACTGCGCCTCGCCCCTATAAGCACCCCTCTAGGTCTTTTTTAATCAGGGATTTATCAGCCTATTTTGGGAAAAGCCATTTTTTGGAGATTGGGAAAAATTTATCGGCGTTTTGAGGAAATTGGGAAAAATGAATATATTGCTTAAACCACGTATATATACACTTAAAAAAAAAATTCAGTTGAAATTTGGCCTACCAAACAGACAATTAAACATGATCAATTATGAATAATAGACTTATAAAAGTCAATATATGAATTCAATGAATATAATTTTTTTTACAACTTAGGGTAGTATGCATATACATGGTATATTTGTGTATGAGGTTCCGATTTAGGTCATGGGAGATATAAACCTCCTGCAAAATACTACACTATTAAAATGCACATTTTCTAAAATGTGCATTGAAAATATATTTTTCTACTTGAAATAATGCCTGCATTTCTTACTATTCATTCTTAGATCAATTGAGCAAGTGAAAATAAGTTAACAAGCCTACAGAATTACACAATATCACTACTTCAGAAAAAAAAAAACTGAGGAAATTCGGATTAAAAGTTGGTGATGTTTTTAAACATATGTCACGACCGTAGCTTTGCTAAATGAGTTCAATGGAGGAAAATTACAGATAATCTGACAAATTTACTTTGTGTTTAGTCCAAGATAATTTAATAAAAGAGCATTGTTCTGCAATTGGGAAAAAATACTGCCAAATTGGGAAAAATTGAACTCATTTTCAATTGGGAATGGGGCCGAAACTCGGCCCTTGAGAAGGCACTGATAAATCCCTGTTAATTGTCAGGAAATAAGGGCCCCCTGTACAGTGATAAAAATCATCTAGAATCATATCAAAGTCTGCCAAAACTTGAAGAAAGTGAAAATGAAATTTGTCTATTATCCAATTTCTCGGTGGAAAACGAATTATTTAGCATACTTTGGGTGGATTATCTTCACAGTAAATAAAGTTAGATATTCTTTTAGTGCTTCTTCCAATTTATTATTTTTTTCAAAAGATTTGTTGAAGTTAAAATATGACATTAAATATTTGGAAAAGGATACCAAAATAACCGCCCCCTTTCGCACTTTTCTAGTCGTTTGGGGCTGTAAATAGGGATTATACAGTATCTCAAATGTGGCCTAATACTGAATAGGATATATTTCTTTGATTTTAATAGGAAAACAAATTCATTATCATAAAAAAAAGTGTTTGTTTGTACATATTATGTGAAACCTTTATTGGAATCGAATCTCATATTGCCAACTGACAAAAGAAGGTACCTGTTTTTGAGAATCCTCTCAGTAACAATATTGACAACCCCTTCTTTTTTCATATTCATCATACCTTAGTATGAACAATCTAATTATCTGAGAACATTTTTTTGAAAAATCACAAGTAGGTCCAGTACTAGTAACCTACCTTAAAATAAACTGTGGCATATAAATCTTAAGCAGTGTTTAGCTACATGTAGTCTCTCAAATGTGGCCTGATCACTTTTGGGGCCTTGGTTTATAATCAGATTAACGTACTTCAATAGTAATTTCACCACTGCATGTCCACCAGAGGAATTTCAGATTACACCAGAAGGGAGTCTAAAGCTACATTGGTGATCTTGGGCCAACCTATCTGAGTGTCAGAGGCTATGGTGTCGTTGTGCCGTTTCGCGTTTACCAATCTCTAAATGCGCATGTTGGTGTAGGACGTGTTTTCTTCTGTTTCTATTTCTATACGTTACTGATCAATCTGCAGAGCTAGCTCTGCTATATATTTTGATTTGTCATCATTTTTAACGTCTGATCTCTTACCTGTATGTATTCTAGAGGATTTTTACTCTTGCAATATTTCACAACTGACAATGACCCAAATGCAACCGGATAAGAGCAAATCAACTAATGAAATAAAGTATATATCCAGGACCTTTCCGGATATGATTAATATTGAAATAAGTATTATTGATAAAGACTTTTAAGTAAATTCTTAATATTTACTTTTAATGATTTAGGTCATAAAAAGATTTTTTGCTACAGGAATAAGTTTTCGCCAATCCGGAATAAAGGTGACTATTTATGCATTCCTTTCTTCACTTTTCCATGTTTACTTCCTTTTTCTACTGTGAGAGGGGAAGAATCATGGTAGGTGATAAAGGTTGTGAGAAATCCAGTGAAATCGCATCAAATATCAATCATCTATTGAACTACAAGTAAAGCTTAACAAAGTAAACAACATATATTTGAGATATCAAGTCAGATTTTATCAATCGAAGTTCAATATTGATGTAGGCTTAATGTAAAGTGAAGATGTAATTTTTAGTGTGTAGAAACAGCTTTTCATGACATGGACAATTTACATCATGACCTCTTTCCTTTAATTTTTTTTTTCACTTCAAGATAAGAATAAAAACAAGATTTTTACATTGAAAATCTCTAAGGATGATAGAATATTATCTCGATCTTACAAACAATCTTGCGCTAGGATCCCTATATGACAGGTCCAGTTCAAAGACTATTTCTACCTACGTAGCTATAAATAGCTACGTAGGTATTTAAACCTACCCAAAGTAGCTATTTTTACCTACTTTTTGTATTATCTGCATTTTGTGGCCAAAAGACCAAACGGCACAGCATGGAGAATACTCTATTTTTTGATACAGTCACACTGATGATGAATACAACAAAATTTTGACCAAAAAATGATTACTTCCTGAATCAGCAATTTTACATTAGTTTCTGTGCAAAATTGATAATATACGAAGTAATCATTTTTTGGCCAAATATTTGTCATATCCATCATCAGTGTGACTGTATTAAAAAATTTAGAGCTCACTATGTTGCGCCGTTCCTGCGTTTGGCCACAAAATGCAAGTAAAGCAGAAAATAGGTAAATGTAGCTACTTTGGGTAGGTTTAAATACCTACGTAGCTATTAATAGAAATAGTCTTTGGACTGGACCTGTATGAACTAATTTTATGCCTGCAGCCTACAACAGATGCAATCTAGTGTTGATGTGATTGTTTTTAGTGATTTTACTTATCAGGCAAAAAGAACAAAGAAGGTTGGAATTTGTGGAAAGTATGGAACCCGGTATGGTGCTTCCCTTCGTAAAACCATAAAGAGAATGGAAATCTCTCAACATTCTCGATACACATGCCAGTTCTGTGGAAAGGTTTGTATTGTTATAATTATCTCTTTACCCCTTAATGCCACGATTTGACACACTGGCCATATCCTTAGAGTGTTTGCCAGGTTGCCCCTTAGAGCGTTTTAGATGAATTGGAGTGCAGTTAAAAACTGGACAAATAGGGGTTAAAATATTTCATTTATGCTATGTATTATAAATCAATGTATTCGTAATAGATTAAATTTTTCAAATCTGTTTACATAATTTTGATCGGAATTTTCTGTAAAAAAATAATTCAGGTAAAAGCAGGTGTAAATAGAAAAATAGATATTTTCAACATGTTAAACGGCTTTACGAAGTCAAAATTGTCTGTTTAAATAATAAAAAAATATATAAGATGATATAAATTGATGGATAGATTATTATTTATTATCAATTTTATGAGTTTAATTTCTCAGAAATCAATAAATTGTAGTGCTACTTCAGTGTCAATATCGCCGACAAATTTTCAAACTTGCATGCTAAGACTTGATTTCTGAACATTTTAGGATACTTTAATGAGGCAATTCTATTAAAATAATTATTTCTACACCTAGACATTCATAGATCTATATGTTTGAAATTGAAGGTATCTTCTGAAATTGTGAGAAACAGGTAATAAAATCAGCACTGTGCGGTCACAAAATTTTCGTATCTTATGTTTGAGTATATTACACATATAGATCAATATAATTTTCAAATTTTTCAAGAAATAGGTAGTTTATAGCTTGAATTTCATGTAATGCTTTACTGGAAGAGAAAATATTGCGTATTGACCGAGTTATATGCTCATCATATGTAACAGTCCGCCATTTTGAATTTTGGTGGGACTCCAAGATTCTATTGTTTGTTTACACAGGTAAATCACGTGATTTCTAACTAGTATGATGCAATCATCTATTGTTGACCTGCAGGTGGCCACCTGTGCTCTGATTATTTGTAAACAAGCGGTAACTCCAAGTCAGATCAACAATGAAATACACATGCGTCAAAAGTCGTCATTAAGGGTTGGGGGTAGGCGTCAAAAGTCGTCATTAAGGGGTAAAGGAGGGAAAGATCCAAGGGGAAGAGTTAAGTTAATGTCAGTAAACAAATGCACCATAGAAAATGTGACATTTCAGCCTTTTATAAAGCTCCATTTCTGAGAAAGAAGTCTTTTTTAAAATTATTAGCATGGCACAGTGTACTTCTAGTCTGAAATATCTAATGTTTTCCAGGCTTTTTTTTCTATTTGATATTTTATGTGGCTTGAAAATATCAAAACAGGCACCATTATGAAAAACTTGAAGTTTCGCAGTCTTCAAACCGAGTCAATTTTTAGCTCTACTGGTCAGAGACCAGAAGAGGCTATGCGATAGTAATGCGTCCGGCATCCGTCCGTCCGTCTGTCTGTCTGTAAACAATTTTTCAAAATGCTACTCCTCCTACAGATTTGCTTCGATTTCAATATAACTTGGCACACAAGTACAGTCTACGCGAAAGTTTAAATTTTTTACAGGACAAAATGTCTGGTAAAAATTAAAATTTTACCAGACCAGGCAATTTCTTACCAGACCGACTTTTTTCCTTAAAATCCATACATCATTATGATACTGAGATTGATAGAGTGGGTGGGATGGGGTTAATTCTCACTGTTAAATTTAACCTTAAATAAATTCAGAGAGAAATGGACAAGTTAACTTAACTATCTATAATTTTCCTTTGTAAAAGGTACCTATTTATAAAATTGCCTGCATTTTTTTTCTTCATATTTGACTTATACAACATACACTGTATCAAAGATTTTCTTACATTTAAGGCCTAAAAAAAAAATAAGTTTGTTTCCTGTAACCCGACCGACCCATTCAAATTATCCCCTGGTGGATTTTTTTTTTTCTTACAAATGGCAAAACTTCATTTGATCAATCAGCTGATTCCATTAATTAAATTAAAAAAAAATAGCTTGTAGCTTAATTTGAGACAGAAAATATGTCAACCTAGTGTGCATTTACCTTAAATATAAAGAGTAATCATTATTGTAACAATTGTTTCCCCCTACAACTTTCTGAAGTTCGTTTTCTGCCGCTTGGCAGCCATTTCGGATGCCATATTGGGTGTCCACTGTAAATATAACACCTAGTATTTTCGGTCCGGGGATGTTTGACCATTCATAATCACAAAAAAAAAAAAAAAAAAAAAAAAAAAAAAATTCCGACCTACCGACCCTTGATTTTTTGGGAATGTTACAGGAAACTAACTTATTTTTTTTTTTAAGCCTAATATTACTTTCAATGCATATTTATTTTTCCTGAAACAACTCATTATGGTTACTCAAGTTCAATGATCATTTTAAAAGTAATTTCCCAACCATATATACGTATGAGCTATCTAAATATTTTCCCAACCAAATCTATGTATGAGCTATCTAAAGATCTCTAACCCTGGACAGAGGAAATTCGAGTTAGAATAAAAACGATCATGACAGGGTTGTAATACATAAAAATTAATCAGGTATTACTGCTAAATTGATCAAATAAAGGATATTTGTGGGGAATTGGACCATGTGTACCTCTTAATTTAGATTTATTTGGCCTTATTTTTTATCGGACATTTGGTCCTGTATACTGAAAAATTTTACCGGCCCGACCTAAATTTTACCGGTAAAAACCGACGGTCCAGTGACTTTCACATAGACTGCAAGTAGACTACACTAAGATACATAATTCTGTGCATCGGTTTTTGATTTCGATGAACGGTGTTGCCATGGTTACTAAAAATAGAAATTTCTTTGAAATTCTTTCAAAATGCTACTCCTCCTACAGTTTTGGTCTGATTTCAATATAACTTGGAACACAAGTAGACTACACTAAGATACATAATTCTGTGCATCGGTTTTTGATTTCGATGAACGGTGTTGCCATGGTTACTAAAAATAGAAATTTCTTTGAAATTCTTTCAAAATGCTACTCCTCCTACAGTTTTGGTCTGATTTCAATATAACTTGGAACACAAGTAGACTACACTAAGATACATAATTCTGTGCATCGGTTTTTGATTTCGATGAACGGTGTTGCCATGGTTGCCAAAAATTAAAATTTCTTTGAAATTCTTTCAAATGCTACTCCTCCTATAGTTTTGGTCTGATTTCAGTATAACTTGGCACACAAGTAGACTACACTAAGATACATAAGTCTCTGCATCGGTTTTATTTTTGATGAGTGGCAAGGATCATTTTTCTATTGATTGCTGTTTTAAAGTCTCAAGTCCCAACTGCTACTTTTCTCTTCCTTTGTTTTAAGTATAAACCAGTAGAGCTACAGTCTCGACAGAGACTTCTGGTTGATACATGCAAACCAAATTAATAACTGAGCCCACAATTTATGAATTACATAATTGTTCTACTACTTGCCAAAATTGATGAAAAGAAAATATCGCTCCACATTTCAATTAACTTTTTGCAAGGTTTTGAATTGCAGAACATGAAACAAATCTAGATAGTTGACTTAAATGTTTTCACTGGACTCTATATTTTATAAATGAGCAAGAAAAATAATATGGGTTAATAGAAAAGTAATGTACTATTGATACATTTTTGAGTTTGACATTAAATTTGGTTCGCATATATATATAAAATAAAAAAAATGTCACCGTTGTGGGTGGCAAATTTCCAGTTTTGGTAATGGCACTGGTTCTGATGTTTTCCTGGCAGATAAAATATCAAAATCATTAAAAACACCCTGAAAATGTCAGATGTTTTGAACTA